GGAACTATGTAGAAGCCCATGGCAATGTTCTGTTTTTAAGTACTGTCCCTTTCATAACTTCTGTGACGAAACAGAAGTAACGAGAGAATTTTGTATATTGACGATGGATGTTGATTGCAAATCATAGGTCTATAGAGAAGTAGGAAGACACAAGATGGACTACCTTAAGTAGTGCCACGTATCCTGGTAATGCGAAGAGTAATTAATTGGTTCTGGATTAGAAGAATCGATTTGATATTTATCAGACGGAACTACAATTAATTGTAACACAATCTTACTGTAACTATAACACTTCCTAACTACGAACAATGATAACCCTCTAAAGGTTACTGTATTCAGTTATTCGGTATAGAGGGGGTGGGTTTCCCCATGCACCGCGACTAATAGTCTATTGTACGTCCCCCTTTAATTTCTACTGTCGCCATACCCTACCGATACTGGTGCCCGCTATCTCCACTTCCTGCCAGCGAGGTCGGCCCTCTACTGGCATTGGTACCCGATAACTTCCCCATCTACCGGAGGCATTGGAAACTACTTGGGCGGAAAACTTTTTGCCTAATTTTGCTCAGAGGTCTCCTAGAGACATGAGGATCTTTTACGTGCCGTAAATCTACGACATGGGACCCACGGCTTAAAGTCCCTCTCGGAGGACTTGTTACCTGAATTCTTCCGCCCTTAAAAATTCCACGACCTGCGCCAGGTTTGAACCCGCGTAACTTGAGTCATGAGGTGGGAACGTTACCCCTAGGTTACTATAACTACACCTCATAAACTAACGACTTCATTTCTGAATTATGTCTTGTCTTCTGTCGTATTCTGTCCTTTGTTGGTCAGTTCTCTCCAAGAGGTAGGTTCAGGTCGAACCGTATGGAGGTCACCTCCTTCAGCAGTAGAGTTACACTGTTACTGTGTTTTGGAGGTTCGTTGCCGTGTGAACGGAAACGTTTCTGTATGCGTTGCCTAGGAATCGACGTGACCCTTTATGCAATGCAGCGCTTCTTCGGTCGTATTCGTTGCCGTGGAAATGTGTTCAAGCAATTCGCCGTCCAGCAGCGGCGCGTTCTCCGTTGCCACGGGAATGTGCTCAGCGAAGCCCTCCCAACAGATGGGCAGATTGCAGCTTTCAGGCGTCATGTCACTCTATTAATCAGGTCAGAGAGCATATAACTCCATGGAGAAAACGAGAAGAAGAAGATCACCGTGTTTGTTTAAATGGATTTGCGGAAATGATAAACTTCACGTGGTGTAACCGGTCTTCCGCATCGAAAATCTAAAGTAGGATCTCCTGAATACTTCTCGGGATTGATAACTCTGAGGTTTTGCAGTTTTATATTTACAGAATCATTACAGTCCATACTCTAATTTAGATAGCGTTGAACACAGGTTAGAAATTATAGGAATAAACGCATAACAGCGAATTAGCGTTCTGGGGGTTTACACGGATTTATTTTGTTTACAGTCAATACTACGAGTAATTTTTGTCAAGGAATATTGATGTTTATCTGTCAGTTATAACCACTGCTTTACACGAAGTCTCAGAAACGACTTAACTTACAAATAAAAAACAAACTCCATAGCCTGTAGTCCACAACCGGACTATACCAACCGAGTGACCGCCGCTTGTCAGCGAAGTTAGTGCCAACTTTTGCGGATAGAGGGTGTCACGTGGTCAGCGTAACGGTTCCCCAAAGCCGTTAATCTGTTTTCAAACCGGAGCCACTATTTCCTTGAAAGAGCTCCTCAGTTATCCTGACGAGGCTGAGTGGACCCCGTTCCAGACCCATTGTTTCTCAGAAAATCTGGTAGAGCATGGAATCGAACCCGGGACCTCTGGATCTGTAGCCAGGAACTCTGACCACTAGACCACAGAGGCTGTAACTGAAATTACATAATATAAAATAAAGATCTCATTAGCATCGAAAACTTCCATTTGAAACGTTTTCTATATGATTGTAACGTATGTGACACGAGATTTGTAACAAGACTTGAATCGACTAATAACTCTCGATAAGTTTTATGGACAGAGTGACAGAGTTTATATTGTTCTGTGTTTATCGGACAAACCTTTCTTATGACGCAGAAGGTTACAGTTACGAAACTAACATGGGAGATGATGACACAAACTCAGAAATGCAGACTGTAGTGACAGTTTCCTTCGTCCATTGTTCTGCGACTCAATATTTCGCTTGGTGATACAAATTCCTTCGAAGGACACACTAAATCAGCGATTTCTGAACTGTGTTCCGTGCAGTCACGAAGTAAGAAGAACATTAACTTGAATTAAAATATGTTTTCAAATAATTTCAAATAAATGTATTCCTTGTAGAAAGCAGTCTTCTGGGATTTGGCACCGTGTATATGTAGTGTTAACCGATGTTTCGGAGGAACGTATCGCCTCCATCTTCAGGGTAGAAGAAAAATATAAGAAATCCGCAAGCGAAGAGACCGTGAGAACCGGAAAAAGGACATATAATATATATAGCGAGAAAAGTTTCTTTGCTCGGACGCCATGTTATTTTACATTTTATAAAAATCTACCCCAACAAAGGTTGTATATTTTTCGGCTACTCTATATCAGATCAGGATCCTATATTAAATGGTGGTAACGTCCTTCTCGCTCCACAATTTCGTGCGGCCGTCGTGCATATTTCTGGAAGTAGGGAATTAAATTTTATGGAATTGGAATCACCTCTAAGGACATAAAATTAACTCCGAGTTTCTTGAAAATTTGTAAAATTGTTCAAAAAGTGAAAGAATAAAAACCCAGACACATGACAAACAGACAATATAGTAACATCATAAGTCTAAGTTATTTTCCCCCAAGAAAACAAGAAAAAAGGGACCAAGAAATATTGAAATAGAATGAAAGTACGTTGAACAAACAGCTCTAGTTTCTGTAACAAAATATTGCGATTGATGTTGAAGTGAAACATGACAGAAACACTGACCTGACGTAACAACTCTAGGTCAGGGCCACTCCTAGTACTACTATATTTGTACAGCAGAGAAGTTGTCTAAGTATTTAAGCCGAAGAGAAAGGTATGGACGCAGCTCAGTAACCTCGCGTCAGGTGCCGTGAAACGTCCGGATCGCGACGCTGCGTACAGCCTTCCGGTTCAATTATATTTTGCTGTCGTTTCCAACAGCCATGGTCCGATTTTATGAAGCGTCACTCAGAAGTTGCAGTTATTTTGTTACAAGACTGCAGTTGCCAGGTAAGCAGTTAACCACGAATCATTACAGAAACTGTTTTCTTCCTTTACCTACTGACTGACATAATAAATTCCGATAGGAAGCGTTCTGGATCGACTATGGAGGGCAAGAAGCATGCATCTTCCAGCAGTTCATAACACGTTGCCTTCTAAGTAACAGTTCTATGATTTCTCATGAGATATCAGTCCCTAGAATCTTCTATTAATAATGTGACACACATAACTAAGATGAAGATTACTGTCTTCTAGGATAATGATCAAGGAGGATGAGGTGGGCACGAATAGGGGAGAAGAGGAATGCATATAGAATATTTTTGGGAAAGCCAGAAGGAAAGAGACAACTTGGAGGACCAAGGCGTAGGTGGGTGGACAGTATTAAAATGGATAGGATAGAGATAGGATGGGATGGATTGGATTGATCTGGCTCAGGATAGGGACCAGTGGAGGACTCTTGCGAACACGGTAATGAACCGTTGTGTTCTATAAAATGCTGGGAAATTCTTGAGTAGCTGCAGAATTGGCTTCTCAAGAAGGGCTCAGCTCCATGAGTAAGTAAGTGAGTAAGAATATAACGCCATGTAGCCCGTTGGAAGGTCAACAGATGTTTCGAAGGAAAAAATCACCATCTTCAGGGTGAAAGAATAAGCCAAACCGGCGTGAAGCATGTAGCAAGTTATCTGCTTAATGCTAGTGTCTTGCTTGGTTTATTCTTCGACTCTGAATAAGAAAGGGACATGTTTGTCCAAAACGTCAGTTAACGTTCAACGGCCTACATGGAGTTATGGCATTATATCCCCATAAGACACATCCCTTCTTAACTACTGTTGTAAGAACCCAAAATGCTATATCTACGAGGCTTCATCAGTTGTGTCATCAAACAGGAAAGCACCGTATTAGGCGAACTTTTTTTATTTCAAATGCAGCTTCTCAGAAAAGAGAAATCGCCTTATTTTCGGGTCCTACGCTACGCGGTAGCATAGTTGGTTGAGGCACTATGCTACAAGCCGAAAGATCTCTGGTTCCAATCCGGATGAGGTCATTGGATTTTTTTTTTTCAATTTACCTAATCCTTGAGCATCACTATGGCCCTGGCTTCGACTCAGCCTCTAACAGAAATGAGTACTTACTTACTTACTCATGAGGCTGAGCCCTTCTGGAGAAGCCGCCAATTCTGCAGTTACTCAAGAATTTCCCAGTATTTTATGGAACCCGGAGGTTCATTACCGTGTTCACAAGAGCCCTCCACTGGTCCCTATCCTGAGCCAGATCTATCCAATCCATACCATCCCATCCTATCTCTCTAGAAATAAGTATCAGGAATATTCTTCGAATGTTCTTGGGGGTAAAGGGCGGCCGGAGCGTAAGGCTGACAACATTACCGCCATCTATGAGCCCATTGTCTAGAAAATATGGGAATCTCAACTTCTCACAACCCTATGGGCCTCCACGGCCTGTTACAGGGATACCTTTACTTACTTACTTACTTCTACTTTACTGTTCTTCCGTGCTCAAAACGTGGCACAGCTGCACTTCATAGTGGAGAACACTCCGATTCATGGTGAGAACAAATTCCTCCGAAACATCGGTTCTCTACTGAACTGAAAGCGCCATGTCTCAGAAGACAGTGATCTTATTTTCAATGTATTTTAAAACACAGGAACGTGGCGACAGAACGAAATATTGTTGATATGTTTTCTGACTAAACTGAAGGAAAGTCTGCTAAATAAATACAGTCTACTTTCCACTTGTCGAGCCTGATATTCTGACGTTCTCTTTCCTTCGCTTCAGGCAGAGCCATGGCGGTGTTGGCTGTATTGCTACTGGTGTTCCTGGGAACCTCGAATCCCACGCGAGCAGCGAGATTACTCGAAGTTCTTTTCGAGTGGAAGGATGTGGAGTTCGCATTTCCTAGTCCGTCCGCTAGAGAAGTGTTGATCAAGACGAGAGCTTATATTCCGGGCAATTCCTTTCCCATAGATGTGGACGCTTGGCAGCAGGGTGAGTGCGCCATGTAGGTCTTTTGGCACAGATCACGTCACTCTGACCAGTTAAAGAGTTGTGTTATGGGAAAGAAACAAGAAGTCGCCAGAGGTGGACACGCGTGGCGGATGGAAATGTAAGCTACAAAAAGGAAAAGGTAAAGAAGACTGTGCTTAACTAATTACGCACTACATCATGAAGGCGTATGGAAGAGTGGATGTATAGACCCACATTATCTTGACCTCGGCACTAGCTGGAGGTGAGTGGTCAGCTTTACCGCCCGGGGAAAGAGCACCCTAGGAGGTTGGATAGACACCAGAGCCTGTCTGGACAACGTGGACAAGAGAAAGTTCTTGCCGCTATCGGGACTCGAACTCCGATATCTCTGCCATCCGACCCGTAGCCAGTCGCTGTAAAGACTACGATATCACGGCTACATTCTATCCTAAAATCATAAGCAATTTCCTGCAATACACGAGAATGAAATCAGACATAAATTTTGTGAACTCTTGGTCCACGCTTCTTCCTTGCCGATACCACAGTTACTTAAATAAACAGAGCACCACTTACAAAGGAAGATTCACTAGTTACATGCCCAAACAGCGGCCCCCGTAGACTCAAAGTACGCGGGTTCAAACAAGTCCACCGGGAGGGACTTTAAGCCGTGGGTCCCGTGTCGTAGATTTACGGCACGTAAAAGATCCTCATGTCTCTAGGAGACCTCTGAGCAAAATTAGGCAAAATTTCCCGCTCAAGTAGTTTCCAATGCCTCTGGTAGATGGGGAAGTATCGGGAACCACTTGCAGCTTCGCTGGCTGAACGATGCTGATAGCGAGCACCAGTACCGGCAGGGAATGGCGACTGGTAGAATATCAAAGGGAGACGTACAATAGACTAGTAGTCGGGGTTCATGGGGAAACCCACCCCCTCCAATAATAATAATAAATACATGCACAAATATACAGCGAGTGAGTGACATGATGTACATGTATAGGAATAGAGTTAAGTAAGAGTGCAGTGCGCATGCGAATTGTAGTCCTTCCGTCCTGCTCACATACACCCCACTCCAAACCGTGGCGCATCCCTATTATCTTTCATATCATACCCATCAGAATGTGAGCCAGAATAGCTCGGTCGGTATAGCGGCTGGCTACGTTTCCGAGTTCCGAGTCCTGATAGGGTCAAGAATTTTCTCTTCTCCGCGTCGTCCAGACCGGCTCTGTGGTCCACTCACCTCCAACTAGTGCCGAGGTCAAGAAAATGCGGATATATACATCCACGCCCCCATACGCCTTCATAGCGTAGTGTTTAATTAGTTAAGCACAGGGGCATCTTTATTACACACCAGGGTGTTGTGCAGTGTCAATGTTCTGGAACCATGTGCGAGAAGTTTTCGGTATGCTGAGTTGCCAGTTATGCTGATTTGAGTTTATAGCTCATAAACGCCTTATGTCCAGGACAAACAAGCAGCTGTCTCACTCAGTGCGGTAAGATTTTCTCCCAACGTGTGTTGCAGAATAAGTAGTAGCGAATTTGAGGTTCTCACAGCGGTAGTTATGAAGAGCTATATCTTCTGGGATGTAACGCCATATAGTCCGTTGAAAGTCAACCGACGTTTCGGATGAATATGTTGCCGTCCCGAAACGTCGTTTGACTTTCAACGCACTACACGGCGTTATATCCCAGAAGACAACTCTTCAAGTAAGAATGAATATGATTACTTACTTACTTATTCATGGAGCTGAGCCCTTCTGGAGGAGCCGCGAATTCTGCAGCTAATCAAGAATTTCCCAGTATTTTATGGAAGCCGAATGTTCATTACCGTGTTCAGAAGAGCCCTCCACTGGTCCCTATCCTGAGTCAGCTCAATTCAATCCATACCATCCAATCCTATCTCTCTAAGATCTATTTTAATATTGTCCACCCTCCTACGCCTTGGTCTTCCCAGTGGTCTCTTTCCTTCTGGCTTTCCCACCAATATCCTATACGCATTCCTCGTCTCCCCCATTCGTACTACAAACCCTGCCCACCTCATCCCCCGTGACTTGATCATTCTAATTATACTTGGAGAAGAGTACAAGTTATGAAGCTCCTCATTATGCAGTTTTCTCCAACCTCCTGTCACTTCATCCCTCTTGGGTCCAAATATTCTCCTCAGCACCCTGTTCTCAAACACCTTCAGTCTATGTTCCTCCCTTAATGTCGATTATCAACTTAAAAAGTTCTTTCATCCGGGATATGACGCCTGGTCATCTTGTAAAATATTTATGACGTTTCGGAGGAATGTACTGGTTCCTTCTTCGGGAACGAAAGGTAAACCGTGGAAGCAGGCAGCAATCAGACTTGCTTGCTACTGCTTGTTTGCTTTTGCAACTTACTGATCGAACCATAACGGTCAAGACGGTATGTTACTCAGAAAGTTCTGTAACTTCTAGCAGACAAGACGGTGTCACATCAGTTTGTGTGTTGTATAGGTTCAGCCGAGAGCGAAGTGTTCGTAACAATCCCGCGCTTCAAGCCTGGGGTACCCGCAACACTCACCACAGTGGTCCAGACCGAAAATGGTCAGCCCTTGCTGCTACCGTATCCAGACTGGAGTTGGCACAGAGAGGGTTCCTGTGAGGGCATTACTTCCGTGTTCAGAGTTCAGGTCAGTTACACACCACAGTCAACCTGAGTTCTGTGCTCCTGTGTTCTAAATGCGATGATTATTTGAATATTAGTTTTCTTAATACAATGATTTGTGACTGACGAGGGCCAGCAGCAAATTACTACCTTACCCAGAATAGTCACAGAAAGTCAAATTCCTCCTCTCGTCGAANGGAGGAGGTCCCATTTCAAAATATGTAAATGGTCTTGCAAAGAACGAAAACATTGTCATGGGTCCCGATGATGTTCGAAACCAAGAATGACTGTGCTGGCGAAGGCCATCAGTAAATTACTACTCTACCCAGGATAGTCACAGAAAGTCAAATTCCTCCTCTCATCGAGGAGGAGGTCCCATTTCAAAATATGTAAATGGTCTTGCAAAGAACGAAAACATTGTCATGGGTCCCGATGATGTTCGAAACCAAGAATGACTGTGCTGGCGAAGGCCATCAGTAAATTACTACTCTACCCAGGATAGTCACAGAAAGTCAAATTCCTCCTCTCATCGAGGAGGAGGTCCCATTTCAAAATATGTAAATGGTCTTGCAAAGAACGAAAACATTGTCATGGGTCCCGATGATGTTCGAAACCAAGAATGACTGTGCTGGCGAAGGCCATCAGTAAATTACTACTCTACCCAGGATAGTCACAGAAAGTCAAATTCCTCCTCTCATCGAGGAGGAGGTCCCATTTCAAAATATGTAAATGGTCTTGCAAAGAACGAAAACATTGTCATGGGTCCCGATGATGTTCGAAACCAAGAATGACTGTGCTGACGAAGGCCAATAACAAATTAACTGCACTTCAGTAAACTCTTTATGTTCCTATGTAATATCACAGACAGGGTTCATTAACTACCTTGCAGCGTATGTCGTGGTCGAGTGGATGGCATTCCGGCTTCCAATTCTAGAAGTCTAGGGTTAATATCTCGGCCTGAAGGCTGGATATTCTCCAGGCAAATTCCGGGTTGGTACCTCAAATACAATTCAACGCTATATGGTCTGAGCTACTAACATCGTCGTTAAATAAACCATAAATAAGTGATAAATATTACTTATATTTTGCAGCGTCCATTTATGTGTTGCTGATTATACGGAAAGAAAACCAGTCTCTAGTTTCAAATGCAGGAAGGAAAACTGATAAGAATATTTCTGATTATTTCACCCGCTGCTGTGTGGAAATTACCACATACGTCAAGAACTGGCATATTTATCGTGACTATAAATGTTAGTGTCAAAAACATGTTTCCCAAGGTATTTCTAAGTATCATGTCCCATGTACAAACATACTGTCACATTTAGAAGGGTATGAGTGACGAAGATAATGGGTTCTAGTATTTCGGATGATTGAATTTATTAGCACTTCTGTCACAATTTCTATCTTAATTACAACTAATACAGCGCTATCGCTGATTTACAATCTTTCCAGTTCACCGTTGCACACGCACTGCGATTCTCAGTTTTTACTAGTCGTTTCCTAGCAACGGATCTCAATACAGAAACTAACACTTCAAATCACTATAAAACCTTGCCATTTCTTGTTCAATTACCCTGGAACCTCGAAACTCAATTAAAACCCCTTCTGGTCTCCTCCAGCTTATGACTGCCCGCAAACGACCTTTGTTGTCCCCTATAAACTTTCTGCGCTGACCTACAGAAAACACGCCACGCGGTCTCTATCCACTGTTCTGTGACGTCACCGCCTACGCGAAGTGTGTTTACCGTTTATTTGTCTAGCAAAACTGACGTCTTACTGCTCCGAGCGTTTGCTTCTGTGGAAACGTGTTTAACACACCGTTGCCTAGCAATGGGTCTACATATAACAATTCGCCACAATACTAAATCAACATGGCTCTCCATAATATTTCGTATTTGCCTCATTATTACCAAATGCAAGAGAAAACGGTCAGAAAATTAGTTATTACACATTATCAGAAGCCAAATTAACCCGTTAAACACAGCGGTTACAGTACGTACCACCCGCTTGAACATTTAAATAAGTCTGTATTTTTGTGATTTTCCGAATGTGTAGCGGATAGTTCCCTATGCAGCTTTAAACGGTTGGGTTTAGTAATGGACAGAGTGTGTTCCATGTGTAGTAGGAACTGAAGTTTTAAGTAACACTTACAAATCGTTCACGAACACCCAGGCTAGTGAGCACTGCTCAGGTTCTATTAAAGGCCAATAGGAAGATGGAGAAAAAAAGCATAATAAAGAACATCATAATTTGTACTCTTCAGAAAATAATATTAAAGTCATCAAATTAAGAAGGGTGAGATTGGCAAGATATGCAGAACACATAGGAGAGGTAAAAAAGAACAAAATATTTTAGTTCAACCCCCTTAAGAAAAGAGGACCCTAGAGGGGCCCAAGCCTATATGGAAGAATGTTACAATTTATCTTTGGATACAGGACGTGAGAGCATCAGCTCCATCCAACTAGTTCAGTGTAGAGCTGTTGTGAACACGATAATGAACTTTGAGGGTTCGTAAGAAGGAGAGATTTTGACCAGCTAGAGCGAGTATCAGTTTCTGAAGAATTATGTTCTTCTTGGTCTTCTGTTTTTCATATTATGACCTCTGACCTGTTCCCATCAAAACTGATCTGGAATCCTGAATCTTAGACAGTTGGTAGGAGTCCTGGGACGGCTGATCAGCCCTGTTGCAGGGCCGCTGGCTACACAGAAGAAATACGAACATACGTAGGTCGTACTGAAAGTCATGAGCAACAATTTTTTTGTAAAGTAACATGCTTTATTATTGACAAACCAAATATACCATCTCAATCTACAGATCTTTCTTTATTTTTACACATAATCGCCACTTCTTTGTGTGCATTTCTCCCAGCGTTCTGGGAGTTT